GAAGCAGCTGCTCTGTGGCCATCAACTCTCTCGCCTCCTGCTTGTGGGTTTCTTACTGTTTTCTGCCTTTTTCAGCTTGAAGTTGGAATGTGACAAACTGGCCAGCGAGAAATCCGAGATGCAGCGTCACTACGTCATGGTGAGCACCGGCCCCGGTGGCGCGGGGGGGACGCAGGGGTGCGGGTGCCTGTGCCCACATGGGGCACGGAGCCTTTTTGCCCCCACGGAGCTCCAGGTCTTGAGGTCTGCCCTGGCTCCCAACGGGGCTTTTCCCGGGTTTTGTGGTGGTGAAGTGCAGGGAAGCACCCAGGGAAGTGAAGGGCTTGGAGAGCTGAGTGCTCCATGGTGGGGATGGGAGGTCCTTGGCCTTGCTCCCTGTGGCCTGGGGGAAGTAGCAGCACTGAAGCACTTGAGAAGGAGCTGCAGGGAGCTGCTGTGCAGGTCTGGGGAGTCGTGGCCTGTGTATGACGAGGTGTGAAGCTGGGAACCACCATGAGCCTGGTGGGAGCTGGAAGCAGAAACCAGCTGCTGTATGAGAGCCAAACCCTCAGCACCTCCATGTGAAGTGCTGCTCAGCGCAAAGCATCCCAATCCCAGGGCAGCCCCTGGTAAAGGCAGGAGATGTGGATCGCAGCAGGATTAGCCATGGATCTCCACGGATAAATCCGCCAGGAAAGGGCCATGTTCCTGCAGGCAGGTAACATCTGTGTGCTCCTGTGCACGGAAGAGCCCTTGCAGCAGAGGGAGGGATGCGAAGCTGCTCTGTTCCCATCAAGGAGCTCCCAAGAGGTGTGATACTATCCATAGGGATGAGCTGGTGCCCACTTGCTGCTGGAAGGAAGAGATAAGATGTAGAAAGATGCTCTTTGGAGCAGCGTTAGGACTGGGAAAGAAGGAATGAAGGAGTTGGCCCCTCCATCCTCCTGCGCTGGACTCGGGCTGTGGGGGAACAAGGTGTGCTTGGGGCTGGGGATGAGCAGAGGAGGTCACGGCTTTCCTGGTGGCTTAACCTGGGCCTCGCGTGGATGCTCGGCTCAGCTGGGGCCAAGAGTCCCCAGCGTGGATTCAGGTACCGTCAGCAGCAGAGGGAAGGGCTGCGGCTCCTTGTGCAGCGCTGGAGGCTCTGCAGGTGCAGCAGCTCCTGCCTCATCCTGCGGGGCTGAGCCAGAGCCGCCGCTTCCCAGCACAGGGAATGACGGGAAGCGGAGAGGAGGGATCCTGCTCCAGCTGCTCTGCCTGGTGAATAAGTCACAATTAGCAGCTTGGGGGTCGGGCTCCTGCTTCCTGCTCAGTCTCCAGCATGCAAAGAAGCCTGGAGAGAGCCAGCAGCAGGCTGGGATCAGGGAGATGCCGAGCCGGGCGCTTCCAGGCTTGTGGCATCGGTACCAACCAGCAGCATCCTTCTCCTTGAATGAGGTGTGGGTTTTCCTTTCCTTTGGAAGAACCAGGCTTGCAGCCTGCAAGCTACAGGAAGAGATGTCAAAACTCCCAAGCATCAGCCTTCAACCAGCTTCTTCCAGGGGTCAGGAACTAGCTTCTCCTGCCAATAGATTGCTCTGGAGCCGCCTGTTGCTACCGTGCGGGGGATTTCTGGGTGGGATTTGTTGTGTGTGGTGTGGTTTGGGGGGGGTCCACAGAGCTTTTCCCAAGCAGCTGGAGCCGTGCGCAGCTGGATGTGCTGCTTGTACATGAAGCCCAGTTGTGATCCCTTCCATTTGCTGCTGAAGCAGCCGTGTGGGCTTTAGGATGTTGGCCAGGCGAAGCTCTTGGAGTCAGGCTGCCTCTTCTGGCTGCGGATATGGAAGTTGTGGAGCCCTGAGCCTTGCCCAGCCTTTGTAGAAGACCTTGCTTAGGAAAGCAGAAAGCACTGCTCGAGGGAGGCACTTTACCTGGTGGAGATTTGACAGTTTCTCTTGTTCTCTCCTGCTCTGCAGTACTATGAGATGTCCTACGGGCTCAACATTGAAATGCACAAACAGGTAGGGGGGGGAGAGGCATTTCCAAGTGCTCTGATTCCGGGGGGGGTGGTGATGGTGGTGGCTTCTCTGCTTTGCCCTTGGTCACTCCAGTGGTATTTCAGGAACTAGAAATGCCACGAGCCTGTAAAAGCTCCTCCAGCTCCAACCCCTGCCCCGGGCAGGGACACCTTCCACTAGAGCAGGTTGCTCCAAGCTCCATCCACCCTGGCCTTGAACACTGCCAGGGATGGGGCAGCCACAGCTTCTGAGCATGGGGGAATTGGGGCAGTTGGTGCTGAGGCTCCTGATGCTTTTCCTCTCTGTTCTTCCCACCTTCCAGGCTGAAATCGTCAAGAGGCTAAATGGGATTTGTGCTCAGGTCCTGCCCTACCTTTCGCAGGAGGTGAGTCCTGTGCCTCGGGTCTGGGGTGGGGAACCTCAGCCCTTGCTCTCAGCCCCACAGGGGGACAAGCCCTTCAAGGCCTGGAGGTCTCTGAGCAGTTCCCCCCTGGCTGCTCAATGGAGTTCGTGGGCAAAATGGGCTCTGTTGCCTCCTGCCCGGGATTCCCAAGTCATCGGCCACGTCTGCACAGGCACTGGGAGCTTCGGAAGGCTCCTGGGAGGAAGGGGCTTAAATTCCCTCCATATGGCTCCTCCTTGGGATCTAATTCGCCTCCCTCAGTCATTAATGCAGCTGATGGGCTCCTACCGAGAGATCAGTGGGGAGGGTTCAGGAGCTGCTGCCCGAGGCAGGAGGAAGCTGCAGCATCCCCAGTGCTGGATCCGAGCTCTTGGGGCTGGTGTTTGGTCAGGACCCAGGGCTGGGTTTGCTTTGGGGCTGGGGCCAGGCTGTGGTTTTCCTGTGCTCGGGAAGGACACGGTGACTTGCTGATCACATCAGAGCTGCCCGGCAGCAAAGCCACAACGAAACCTTTTGCATCTTAATGCAAACCCTTCCGCAGCCCTGTCCTGCTGCCAAGTTGGGAAGCAAAATCCACTTGTTGGGAAGCAAAATCCACTTGCTGGAATGTGGTGGCCAGGCCTAGAGCTTGGAGACCTTCATGCTGCCAGAGGAGCAAGGACAGTTGCCCTTTAAAGTATGTGCTAGAGCTGGTTTTCCTGCCTGGACCCAGGATGTGGCCCAGGGAGCTGGGAGCTTCCCAAGAGCTGCTGGTTTTAGGGCTCCTTTTGTTCGCTGGGAGCCAGGCTCCGTGTCCCCCTGGGTGTGTGTCAGACCTGAATCCCTGTTCTCCTGCCCTGTGGCACTAGAACTGATCCCGAATCCCTCTGTTTTCTCCACGCTCGCAGCATCAGCAGCAAGTCCTTGGGGCCATTGAACGGGCCAAGCAGGTCACGGCGCCAGAACTGAACTCCATCATCCGTGTACGTGATGCATGTTTAGCCTGGGTTTGGAGGGATGGGAATCGGTGCCTTTGGCCTCCAGGATAGAGCTGGGCAGGGGAGGCGGGAGCTGGGAATGGGCTGCTCCATGTGCGCTGCCGCATGGATGCGGAAGGGATGCGCGGACCCGGTGTGTTCGATGTGGACACGGGAGCTTCCATCCCAGCAGGATGCAGGGAGAGGAGCTTTGGGTCTAAGCAGCTCCCTGCCTTCCAAACACCATCTGTTCTTGGCCAAGGGCGGGAGGGCTTTAACTGCATCCTTGGAGCACGCCAGAGCCTGAGGCCAGATGTCCTTTGGGCTAGTGGCTGCGTGTCCTGCTGGGGCCACACCGAGCCTCCTCCTGAGGCTGTCACAGCCCAGAGACTCGGGAATCTCCTTCTTCCCCTTCTCCTTGGAGGCTCTGCTGCTCTCCAGGGCCCTGAATGAGCTTCAAGCCTGGCTCAACCTCCCTTTAGCATCCCAGTCGCTTGGCTCGGGCTCCCAGTGCGCTCCAAATGACAATCCCCCGTC